TTAACCAAAACTTGCTTATACTATGAAGCAATAATAACCACTAAATCAAGATTAGTTGCTTATTTGTTAAATTATAATTTTGTTTATGGTTATTGTAGCCAATTCTCATTTTTATAAAGTATTTGTACAGAGGGGTTTTGAACATAATGAGATACAAAGATGATATTGGATTGAAATCTTTTGATTATTCCATATCCATTTTTATTGTAGTTTTTAAGAATCTGATGAAAATAGCGGATATACCTGATTGTGCAATATGATCTTTTTTATATCATCATTGATTAGCTTACTCAATGTTTTGTTTTCGTCTTTAAAAACATGTTGCTAGCCAGTGATCGATATATGTTGCATTGTTATTCATACCGCATGTAATTCTGTTTCTAACAAAACAACTTATTCATTTTCTAATTTGATTGGTTACAATAATACAATTTGTAATGCTTACTTTGTAACCAATCAAAGAGGTGTTACATTTTCGTAATATTATTTTATGCCACTTTTATTTGTAATGCTATGTTTTGTATTACATTTTTGTATTGCTATTTTTTCATATTATTCCAAAATTTTGTATCACACCACTACTCTCTATATTATCAATTGGAGCCTTTTATGTCTTGATTTACCCACGCCGCTCGTGTGAATGCTCATTGACAGAGTTGGCTGGAGGTTGGAGAGTTCGCATGAGGTTGGAGGCCATATGTTTGTGTGGTTTTTGGTTTGAGGGAATGATTATTGGGATATCAATCCAAGTCCTGCATCGAAAGTTTAGACAAGAATTGTCGAATATATAAGAGATGTCAAAGTCTACTTAGTATGAGACATTTGGGAAGGAAGCCAAAGACAAATCTGTGCGGACTTTGGCTCTGGACCTAAAACGGACAATATCATACTAATGGGAGAGTTGGACATGAGTTTGGAAAGCCCAAAATGTTGTCCATTCTCTAGATTTCTTTATAGTTTTCCATAATTTATGGCACCAATAACTGTTCTATCTTATAATCGTCATGTAATCTATAGGAGAAACTATCGTGTTAATATATTGAAAAAGTTTTTTTTTTTTTTTTGGTAGTCACGGGACCTGAGTTTTTGCCACCGACTAATCTTTTAGAATGTGTATAGCCGTCGAGTAGTCTACTCACCAAAACAAATTTTATAAGCCTTAAACGTGACTATTTCAACTGGTCAAATAGAGATAAACATGTTTTTAAAGGATAACGAATTCAGGATAGAAGAGTTTATCTCCTTTTCCTAAATATTTTTATCACTAAATCACCATCACTTAGTTTAAAAGCTTTGGTTGTTGTGATACCAAGAATCACTTTGACTTTCTCTTTAAAAGAAATGTAAAGATCAGGTTAATCATTATGTGTAATATGATATCCACGCCATATAGCTTGAGCGTATCCACACTTGAAGAAAAAAGTTCGATAGATTGATCATCACCACAATATATCCTATACCGAAGTTTAAAAAAGAAAAAAGAAAAAGCAAGCATATTCTGGATTATTAAAAGAAAACTTTACTTATTTCAAAACAAAAAATTTCTAGTACAAAATAAGATAACGAGAAACTAATAGAAAGAAATGTAAATTTTACACAACTCGACAGCCAAACATTTTTTTCCGTCAATTAGTTGTTTCATTAAAATAAATCTGCCCAAATAAATCTTAGTCACTGGTTATCGAATGTAATGGTGTTTCACTTATAAAAAAAATTCAATCAACTTCAAACGAGTTGATCGGGATAATGGAACATTTTGTGTTAGATATTCTATAACAAAGTATGTTATGTAAAAAACAAGTATAAAAAAGAGATAGTAAAGTCGGTAATAGAGATTGGAAGGCTAATTAGGTGATAACAAAATATTTGAGTGAATTGGTAACAAACGGGCGGTTGAAAGGTACCTCGTTTGCAAACGTGGTAACCAATCGAAGCCAATAATAACAATAACAATACTTTATAACTAAAGGTGTGGTAGTCAGTAGTCATGTGGTAACAAAAGATTTGGTTCACTTGTGTTTCTGATTTAAAACTTTTTTGTATAGAAGGTTATTCTTTAAATCGGAATATTCAAATATTGTTTCTGGATATCAAAGAG